GGGAATGGGCTAAATGGGTTAATGGGATTAAGGAAGACACTTGTTGTGATGAGCAGTGGGTGTTATATGTACGTGATGAATCACTAAATTCTCCCAAAACTAATATTACACTGTATGTTAACTAAGTGGAATTTAAGTAAAAACTTAAAGAAAATAAGTAAATAAAGTTAAAAACTTCCGATGTACAAAAGACAATGTCAACAGAATGAGAAGACAAGCCACAGACTGATAGAAAATATTTGAAAAGACGTATCTGCTAAAGGACTGTTACCCAAACTATGTAGTGAACTCTTCAAACACAACAATAAGAAAAAGAACAACCTGATTTTAAAACAGGCCAAAGACTTTAACAGACACCTCACAAAGAGGATATACAGGTGGCAAATAAGCATATGAAGAGGTGCTTCACATCATATGTCATTGGGGAAATGCAAATTAAAACAATAAAATGTCACTCTGCACTTGCTAGAATGGCCACCATCTGGGACGCTGATAACACCAGCACTAGGAACCCTCATTCATTGCTGGTGGGAAATACAAAATGCTATAGCCACTTTGGAAGACAGTTTCGCTGTTTCTTATAAAACTAAACATACTCTTATCATATGATCCAGCAATCGTGCTCCTTGATGTTTACCCAAGGAGTTGAAAACTTATGTTTACACAAAACCTGCACATAAACCCATAGGTATTTATAGCAGCTTTATTCATAAATGCCAAAACTTGGAGGCAACCAAGACATGGAGGAATCTTAAATGCATATTACTAAGAGAAAGAAGCCAATCAGGAAAGGCTACATACTGTATGAGACCAGCTATATGACATTCTGGAAAAGGCAAAACCATGGAGATTATAAAAGGGTCATCGATTGCCAGGGATTAGAGGGGTATGGATGAGTAGAAGGAGCACAGAGAAATTTTAGGGTGGGGAAGATACACTGTATGATACTATAATGGTGGATAGGTGTTATTATATATGTATACTACATATTGTAAGGATTTGTCTAAACCATAGAATGTATAATACCAAGAGTAAACTCTAATATACATGATGGGGTGATCATGATGTGTAAATGTATGTTCCTCAGTTGTAACAAATGTACCACTATGGTGAGGGATATTGATAATGGAGCAGGCTATGCATGTGTGGAGGCAAAGTGTGTATATGGGAAATCTCTGTACCTTCCTCAGTTTTACTGTGAATGTAAAACTGCTCTGAAAATATTGTCTTTAAAAAATACATTCATTAGAGTTCATAATTACAGAACAGGGTTTGCTACTTTGTGAAACCCCTCTTTGTGAGGTTTAGTTTTGTTGGGCCTGGAAGGGAAAATCTAGAAGGGGGTATGGCAGACAGTGCATGCTTCTGGTGCCTGTGCAGTACTGGAGGAGGAAAGGTCTGGAGAGAGGGAACAGAGCAGCGCTAGGTGCTGTCAGGATACCGGTGAGCCTGTGGATGGGATCCAGGGCTCAAGCTAGGTAAGCAGCAGATATGGGGTCTTTCTCATTTTTCAGTTTGACTGAAGTTGGGGAGGGGTAGGAAAGAGATCATTGTTCTTTCTTATTCAGTTTATTCTCCCCTAAAACCAGCTGAAATGGAGAAAAAGAGAATAGGTTGCAGAAAAATAACAAGTTAGTTAGGAAAGAAACTGTATTAAGTTACTGTAGGACTTCTGTCAAAGTAGCATTCCCCCTTTGCATCCTCTCCTCTGACTCACCTAGAAGGATCTTAAGTCATCAGAAAGATTAGTCAGAAGGATTCATTAGGCTTTACCATAATCTTAGCATATTTGATCAGATGGTTCAAATGTATAATTTTTAATTTGGAAAAACAATTTATTCTCTTGATTCAAACTAATGGTGTTACATAATAATATTCATATGACCTGGGATGATATAAAGCTGATTTGAAGTTATTTCCTCAACTAGAATCTTTATAGTCAAATAATTTCTGCTGAAAACACAAATTATAAATACCTAATTATCTACATAGGTTAGAAATTCATAGCAGCTGCTGAAAAAATGATTTCAATACCATTAGAATTCAGCATTAATAACAATTTAAAGTATTATTTCATTACAGGTTGAACCTCCAAGTAGGTGCTTCTTTCTAGCTGACTTGAAGTGCATTTTTCTTAGAGCTAAGCTCTGTATGTTTTGTTTCTTTATAAACACCTCCCATTGCTTTTGACTATTTCTAAAATGGAAATCTTTCTCTTTTTTGCCATTATATTTAGTTTTTTTTTTATATAATTTAACAATTCTTCTACCAACTAGAAAACATATTTTCTTTTAAATGGAAATGGCTCTAATGTTTTTTTTCCTTATTTTAATAGTAGTACATGTCTAGGTTAAAAAAAAAGTTAGAAAATTTAGAAAATTATAAACATGAAAAAAAATCTGTTATCCTATCCAGAAATAATTGTTATTTTATTGTATATCCATCTAGGCATTTTTCTATGCACAAAACACAGTTTTTAAATATAAAAATGTACTCCTGTTGTACATACTGCTTTATAAAAATGTGCTTTTTTCCTACTTTACATTGAATCATGAACATTTTTGTATGTTTATAAATTCTGATTACATTTTTACTTTTAATAGTTGCATAAATTCCATTATAGGTGTGCCATATTTTTTGAAGTAGTTTTTCTATTGGTGGTGATCATTTAAGTTTGATTTTTCTTGAAAAAGAGCCACATGAATAGATTGGAAAGATTTCCATGAAGTATGGTTTAGTTAAAAAGGCAAGATGCAAAAATGTATTCATAATATGATTTCCATATTAGCAAAACAATAAAATAAAACTCTATGTGTATATTTGTGTGAGTGTTAAAAATAAGTGTGGATAAAAATACAGCAAGATTCAAGGATAATTCAAGGATAATTTAGTATATATTCTAGATCTAGGATATACAGAGAGGGTACTGCTATAGGTAGATAAGGGAGGAGAAGATATTAAGGGAAGCAAACTCAAAAGTAAAAGAAAAACGCACTGCTGGGGTGCCTGGCTGGCTCAGTCAGTGGAGTGTGCGACTCTTGATCTCGGGGTTGTGAGTTCAAGCCCCTCACTGGGTGCAGAGATTGCTTAAAAATAAAATCTTTATTTTATTTTTTAGATTTTATTTAAATTCAAGTTAGTTAACATATAGTGTATTATTAGTTTCAGGGGTAGAATTTAGTGATTCATCAGTTGCATATAACACCCAGTGCTCATTACATCAAGTGCCTTAATACCCATCACCCAGTTACCCCATCCCTCACCTACCTCCCCTCCAGCAACTCTGTTCCCTATAGTTAAGAGTACCTTATGCTTTGCTCCCTCTCTGTTTTTATCTTATTTTATTTTTCCTTCCCTTCCCCTATGTTCATCTGTTTCATTTCTTAAATTCTACATAAGTGAAATCATATGGTATTTGTCTTTCTCTGAGTTATTTCGCTTAGCGTAATACACTCTAGTTCCGTCGTTGCAAATGGCAAGATTTCATTCTTTTTGATGGCTGAGTAATATTCCATCGTAGGCATATACCACATCTTTATCCACTCATCAGTTGATGGACATCTAAAAATAAAATCTTAGAAAAGAAAAAGAAAAAAGCCCTGCACTAGAACATTAAAGCATATGTGCTATCATACTTGCTATAAAAATTATGTTAAGAGTAGACATATGTTTAAATGAATTAATGTAAAATTTTTTTCTGTACTTAAAAATAGCCAGAATAAAAAAAACAAGATGAAAATATGGATCCAAGGTTGATGCCTAATAACCTCAGGTACAACCATTTTTTTTAATTGGCCATTAAAAAAGAGTTTGTAAGTTTTTATTCTTACACATCAGACTTTATGAATGTGTTTGCATATATCTCTGTATACTTGTCCAGTTATTTCCTAGAATAAATTCCTAGGAGTACATTTGCTGGGGCAAAAGAGTTTGTAAAGGTCAGATATATATTACTAAGTTACCTGTTAGGTTTTATCTATTTATTTCAATCAACAGTTTATGAGAATGCCTGTTTCTTCACAACTTCATCGATGCTGGGTATTTTCAATCTTTTAAATCTTTGCTTATGTGATATAATAAGATAGCATCTTGTGGTTTTATTTTACTTTTCTTTGATTACTAGTTATGTTCATTATTTTTTCATGTTTGTTTTCATTTTTGTGAATTGTTATGCATTTTTCTGTTGGTATTTAACTGTCTTATTGATTTACAAGGGCTTTTTGTACAGAAAGGGTATTTAATTTTTATCATATATGTTGTAAAACCTATTTCTAAGTGTGCCATTCATATTTTAAATTTGTTCATGACACTTTGAGGTATAGAAGTTTCAACTTAATTCATTTCCTTTTATAGTTTTTGGCTTTTGAGCCATGCTAAAAAAGATTTTCACTCAAAGATAGTATATTTACTTATGTTTTCTGTTACTACTTTTATAGTCTCATTTTTACATTAGATGCCTTAAAATATCTGGAATTAATTTTTGTCCAAGGGATGAGGTAACTTCCGTAGTTAACCAAGTAATCCTAGCATTAATTATTGAGTCATCTATCTCAAAAGAGCCTTGCCTTTTTAAAAAATCAGAAGCATTTCATCTCTTTTCTCTGCTCCTGAATTTCTAGAGGGAAACAATTAAATTTGGTTGTATAACTAAAAGCAGAGAAAAAAGAAACCAGGAAGTAGCAATTCTCAACAGGTTTAGAAGTAACTGTATAATCTACTTTTCTAGACTACAGTCCTGCCCAGTGATACACAGATAAATAGGTACTTTTGTGAGTAGACTTGGGCTTTTATATCCCTTCAGTTTCTTGGCAGAGGTGAGACTAACAAGGCAGTTCTCTCAAGATAATTGGGCACAATCCTGGTTACACTGGATTCATGAATTTGTGCATGTTTAAAGGAGGAATGGGCTTAGTGAAGATGAGGATTTATTTCTGCTTGACTGTATAATATTCTAAGTGATTGGATCAGGTTTTAATTTTTAAAATAATTTTCCCTTTTAGGACAGAGGCATATATTTTCCCTCCTACTTCTGCTAAGTACCCTTCCGTACCTTCAAAGTACACTGTGGGTACTCAGACTGATTATCGGGATGCTGAAGTTCAAACTGATCCATATTCTCCAGAATATGTAGTATGTCAGGATTCAATCCCTGAGCTCTTGACCCTGGCTACTCTTACTTGGGGTGAGTTGGTAATTGTCTTGAATATTTATGGATGCCATCCTGATAACCGTGCATGCTACTGAGTTCCTGGAAATGAAGTGTCAGAGGCAACTGTGGTATAAAGTGTTGCTATTTAAAATGTCTTGCTCAACAGAGCTACTTCATAGACTCATACTTCTACTGATACTTTTGTTCAAAGAGAGTATACCCTTTCCATTGCAAGGAGGCTTATTGTACTTTATCCCTGAAGCGGAAGTTCTATTTCAGCTTAATTTTGTGGCTATTTGCTGACTACTCACCTCCCCCCGCCCCCACTATTTTTCCTAGTAAATCAGTTCCTTTTCATTGAGCAATCCTTACTCCCTCTTTACACATAAACCTTTTTGGAGTGTATAATACTGAATATATATTCTATAATATGTAACAGTATTATCTTTGCCAAAATATCTTGCAATTTATCAAAACTCTCTTACATACCGTATTAGATGATTTGGGTGATTTCTTTTGCTGTTATATCTGAAATGCTAATATGGTTCAGGCTCAGAAATTGACTCTTAGAATGCAATAAAATCTGACCTAGGCCTATATTATGTGAAATTAGAAAAATTAATAAGGAAAGGGGCTTTTGGAAATGACTAGACATTAGCTTCTTGAACTCACTTGATTGTACCTGGGAAACAGAAGAGCCAGAGAGGCCAGCTCATCCCAGGTGGTGGAGATTGTTGGTACCCTGTAATGGTTTTTATTAACATGAGATTACCTTTGTTTCCCAGTTGTGATGGTTTGCTGTGGTCAAGTCTACGTCATAGACAATAAAGATGTTCATATCTGAGCTCTAGTTTTGATTCTTGTTTCCTGGCTCACCTTACGAATTCAGATGAAGCATTCTTGACATCCATACTTGAAAGCAGAGGCTCTACTTTCAGACCTAGAAGACAGATTAAAAATATGCTGAAACTTTTCCCTCCTGCTCTAAATATATATATGTGTTAGTGTGTGTGTGTGTGTATATATATATATATAGGTTATGTGTATATTAGTGTGTGTGTACACATATACACACACACACACACAGTTTTAAAAAAGGAAGAAAATTTCCATAATTTAGAATTGGAGATGTCTTCCTAAAAGAAAGAAATAGCTGGGAGCCTATGAAGATGAGCAGGCACTGTGAATAGTGGGGAGCCAGATCTGAATTGCCTGCTTGAACTAGAGGAAGCAGGACTTTTCTCCTGCCCACAGGTAGGACTGAAGGCCAGTGTCTGCCAACACAGAGGTTGAAGTATCAGTAAAAACCACTGAGTCAGGCCTACCCCCTCATTTGCAAGGCCCTGAGTAGGAGTTTAAATGGAGGCTTATACACTATATGTATAGATATTCAAAAATTATAAATCAAGTTAATATCTGTTAAGTAAAATATTTTAAGTAGAATTCTATATTTTTCACAAATATATCTTTATAACAAGTTGAAAGGACAAGTTTAAATTGAAAATTCTTAGATTCCTTGGGATTCTTTGGTGGAATGGGGCAATAAGGGAAGAGGCTGCCTGTGACTTGCCTTTTTTCTCTGGCTCTGTTCCACATCATGAGGGCCCTGTCATGTATGCATGTGATTACCTCACCTTGTTTTTCCAATCTCTGTGTACATATTGCTGTAAACAGCTGCCACTTGGCTACCCCTTGGGCTTAAGGGTGAACAAACAGGGGTGCCTGGGTGGCTCAGTCAGTTAAGCATCTGCCTTCAGCTCAGGTCATGATCCCAGGGTCCTGGGATCAGTCCTGCATCTGGCAACCTGCTCAGCGGGGAGCCTGCTTCTCCCTCTCCCTCTGCCCCTCTCCCTGCTTATGCTCTTTCTCCCTCTCTCTCTGTCAAATAAATAAAATCTTAAAAAAAAAAAAGGGAGTGAACGAACAGCAGCATATAGTCTGCCCTTGGGAGTCTGACTTCTGGGAAGAAGTCCATGTAGATTTTGGAAGGAGGCTTGGGCCATCTGTTCAAGGAAGTCAGGGTTTCTAAGAGTAGAGTAGCTCCAGCTGGGCATAGCCTGTTGAACTCCTCATCCTATGATGATGGGCAGGACTCTAAAGAATGAGGCTGGGGAGCTATCCCTCTTGCCAGGTCGAAGAGTGTTACTACCCAGGGTGCTCATGAGAGAAATCAACAAATGATCTCAACCCAAGAATCACAAAGCATCTAAGGAACACAGACAGCAGGAGTGATCCACAAAATGTAAAAAAAAAAAGAGAGAGAGAGCGAGAGAATAACTTCTTGAGCAAACAGAGCAAATGGAGCAATCTGAAAAGGACTTGGGAAACACTTTTTATATCCTCAAAGAGATAAAGGGGGATAAAGCATGAAAACAAGAGTGACAGCTATGAAAAAGAACCAATTGCAATCCCTGGGTTGATGAAGTTTGAAATAAAATGAGCTCAGTAGTAAACTAAGCAGAGCTGGAGAACAAATTAGTGAAATGAAAGATTAAATGAACAAGTATTCCAGAATGCAATATTCAAAGGTAGAGTAAGATAAAAAAGGTAAGAACCATGGGGGATAGGATTATAAGATCCTATAATAGAGAGAATGGTGGCAATGCAAAAGATAATGGCCAAGAATTTCCCAGGACTAAAGAAAGATATGAGTCCATAGGTTGAAAAATTTCATTGAGGACCAAGCAGGATTAAAAAAAAATTCACACCTACTAATAAAGGAAAAAGAAAAAACTGCAAAAGCTTTTAGAGAGAAAAGTCAGATTACCTACAAAGAGACAAAAACTAAATTGACATTTTACAGAATTATTTTTAAAGTGCTGTGGGATAAGGATGACTGGTGGCTCAGTTGGTTCAGCGTCTGCCTTTGGCTCAGGTCATGATCCCAGGGTCCTGGGATCGAGTCCCGCATCCAGC